TTACAATTACATTAAATTCAATTCTTCTCGTGCATTTTTCGGGGAAAATTGTTATTTAAAAATAATTCAATGGGAAAACTTTGATATTGAGATTACGTTCAGTTTTTCTCGTATATTTTTAGTGGACGATTATTATTTAAAAATTGTCCAGTGTAAAAACCTTGAAATTGTGATTTTCTACACAAACACAACACAACCATACTTTTGAAACTCTGGCTCTAATAATTTGACCATCCACTGCAAACAAGCATCTCTTCCAACGAACCATTGAATAGAAGTAAAATATTTTTAAAAACATTTATTGGTTCCTCAGACTTCAACCGATCGGTTAAAGCACAGGACTGGTTGAATCAGCCTCTATTCTGAAGTTTCGCGCACAATCCTACCGGCTCCATGCCTAAACAGCACCGATACCGACTTGAATACGTGGAATTGCACGAGATCGCCCGCAGGACTTTTACTTTTACGATTCGAGCGTGGGCAATCGTTCGCCTCGCTGCCCACGAGCTATCGGCCCACTCGACAGCCACCATTTTAGGGACTATTCGCGTTGGGACAGCACGCCGAAAAAAGAGAACGACCTTCGTCGTAAAAAACGCCTCTGAACAACCATTGTGCCCCCTCTTATCTTACGAGGCTTCGAGGTTCTATCGATGATTTGATCGAATTATGCATGAGCACAGACTTTCGAGATTCGTATTATAGAAATTGGACTGTTCGAGGATGTAAATTCTTCGAAAGTGAAAACGTGGGATATTTTGGAAACAGTGTTTTGGGACATTGATTTATTTGCTACTTTCGATTGCCTGTCGAAAGTGGAGGGTAATCTTTAGAAAACTGTCGACAATAATCTGGAATTGGTTAGTTATATAATAATCAGCCGAATAATGTCTTGGCCTAGGCTCTGGTGAACTGTTAACTATAACTGTTAACTGTAATTATCAAGTTCCATTTTTCAATCTGGACGAAAGGATTCTCTTTCTCATTACTTCTGAAATTGGTAAGTGCAAACGAATGTTACTTTGGAACATTTGTAAACTTGATGAACTAATTGAGGATAACATACATTTTTAAATAATTGTATCAACACGGATTAAAGCGTGTTTACTTTAAAAATTTTAGGAGGGTCACAGTGGCCCCCATAATCTGAAAGGGCATTAATACAGACTCCTCTCGATTATCGTCCGACTTGTTCTACTTGATTATTGTCCAGGCATTGTTGTACATTGTTCTCCATTCGCTTTCGTTGCCGAGGCTCAGGCTTCGAGCAAAAACAAAAAACGAATTAACGAGGGTCTGAAGCATTTCTCCCTACAAGATTACTGTCCCGGCGCCGACCTTAGGTCGGGACGATAATCGAGAGGAGTCTGAAGATGGTTAAATGAGAATTCTCAGCCAACGGTAGCGAAATATTTTTCCTCGACGAATTCTCTCACGGTGCACGGGCCATTAGCGAACGAACGATTCGGTTCCACTCTACACCCTCTGGCTTCACCGGGTACGTGATCCGCGTGGAAATACAAATGGCGGCGGAAAGACCTGCACGATAGAGAGAGAGAGAGAGAGAGATACGGTGCCATTAATGAGTAACGTAAACGGGCCAGTCGTTTCGCATGTATGTGCGAACGTGTCCGAGGCTGGTTCTAGATCCCGTGTATGCAGGATCGGATTAAGATTTTTAGTGGCCCTGGCTATCAGATTTTCGGGGGCCCCCTTAGTTGAAAAGTGATGAGGGATTTTTTTGTAATACAGCATAACAAAATACATAAATCTTAAAAAATTGAAATTCATTTTAAATAAAATTAAAGTACATTTAGTCATAACGAAATTGACGGTACAGATTGGGCCCCCCCCCCCCCCCGGAAGGGGGGGCCCAATGTGATGAAATGGACTAGATTTATTTTTCTTGTAAATAATTTTGATGGAAACCAAACAGTTCCTGAGATATCGAAGAAAATCTATTTCCCATTTCCAAATGTGAAGGTTGTTTTCAACGGTTGTTCCAAGTGTTATGAACGGTCTTGCGAAAATTGAATGACAGATTAATGACAGGTAAACCGTTCGAATGCACCTGGCGGGGAGGGTCGCGTATGAAAACGCTTCGTGCTGGATACAAATGGTCATCGTGGTATCGCCGTTACGTAACGGGCTACTGGACCAAACAAACGATGCAAACGGACGCCACGGAAAACGATTACGTAACCGACGAAAACGTTGGCCCGGCTTGGCCATATTTGGGGTCCCGTGGTTTCGTGCGGTGCCATTTTAATGTACACGTACCGTTACCTTGCAACCACCAAGAATAACGATACCCGAATATACTTACGTTCCCTTTTGCAATATCTCGACCTACAACTGATACCATAGACGAGATAGATCAATTATTTCGATACAGGGTGTTCAAGGAAAAAGGGCCTGAGACTTTAGAAGTTTTCTTAATTTTTATACAGGGTGATAAAAAAAGGGTCTAAGATTTAACTTCAATAACAGATATGAGAACAAACTTGTGTATTTCTATTCAAAAGGATTGATTTTTGAACCCATGTTGATTAGACATTTTTATAGTGAAATACAATAAAAGGCAAAATATTCATCACATGCAACGAGTTATCTATTTTCTTCTGAACCCAATAAGATACTTAAGATAAGAAGGACATTCCTATATATACTCTACTCTTTGTAAATCACTTTATAAAATATCATTTTGCATAAAAATCCGAAGTCTATTCATCAGATAATCCCACGTAAATCGGAAACTAAGAAATTCCAAGACCCATAGAAAATAATCACACAGGCGATACGATATTAATAATAACGTGAAGAATATAATGACGGGAATATGTATCGCATCCTCTCCACAGTTAAAGCGTGAATCACGTTCCAAGAACGGTAAATCCTCGTCAGCCATAGAGAGACGTTGATTCGTACAGTTAGAATCGTTGGTGGTAAACGTTATGTACTTTCAATTTTTTCCCACCTGGGGAATATTCCTCCGCACGTCAGAAGTATGTTGCGTGTTCTCCAACATCCGATGACTCATCCCCCCCCCCCTATTGTATATTATAATTATCATGGATGCGTCGCCGGTGGCCCGTTGCGATGGGTGTTCCATAGATGCAGAAGATGACCGACGAAAGCACCGACATGCCGTGGGGATGTTTAATTTACGATTCGTACATACAAGTACGGGATAGCCAGCGTCCAGGATGTAAAGGCAATGTTCGCCCAACGCCCACCACGATCTCGAGGAATCGGCCGTTTACAGAGGTCAAAGACTCTGTTCACCTTCCCTCAACCTTGTCTTGGCTCGTGGTGCCGCGCAAGGCTCTTCCTTTCCGGGACAAATTGTTCCCCACGGCGCAGCCAGAGCCCTTAAATTATGCAGAACTCCCTCGAGCCGGTGGAGAGTCTATATCGCCATTAAGCTCGCGGGGGAGGGTCGATCTTTTCCTTCTCGATTTAACGTAGTACCTCGGAGGGGACCAATTGCTAATCCAAAAGAAGTCCAGGATCTACTTCCATCCGAGGTCCCCAAAGGTAAACTACATCTTAGCTCTGCCTAAACCTGAAGGTTCCATTGGAAACCAAAATATCATCTTCTAATGCAGATGAAGTTCATATTCCCTTTTCATCCAAGAACCCCGAGAAGATCAATCCCGGATCAACGGAGTCTTTCGCAACCGAACCGAAAAGATTCATCAGCTGGTTTATAATCCAGGCGCTCCGACCCAAGGAATCGTGATCGTCGCCGGTTGGTTCATTATCGGCAAAATGGCAGGAACCGGCGGTCCGTTAAGGACACGAGCACGCGTTTGCATGCCGAGGCTGGCATGTATCGCTGACATGAGGCGTAGCACAAGCGTTAGCTCCCGGTCTCCACCGTACACACATCTTTCTCTCTTTCTCTTGTAACGTTCGCAAGAAGAAGGCCGTAAGTCCGGTCACATAACGGTCCAGTTATGGTACGGCGAGGAAGCGATCTCTCGCCTCTCGACACACGATTCCCTCGTTACACGAACCTGCCCTCTTCCTCCAACGTCGTATTTCCCATCATCCTTCCACCTTTAGTTTCCCTCTGCTTCATCCATCCTTTCTTCTACGCTCTATCTCTCGCGTGTATTCGCGCCTGCATCCACGCCTCTGTTTGGTTATTTTTTCTTCTTCTTCTTGTTCTTCTTCTTCACTTGCGTGTACTACACGTCGAGTCGCATGAGCGATCGTGATCGCCGATCGAGCTTCCTCGTACCTTGGATCAAGACACACACATTTCTAGAAGTTTGTGTAAAAGACGTGTGATGTCATTGCTCGCTGGTTTATCGCGGTCTAGTAATCTTTGGGAATTAGAAGAAGATGGTACTAGTACTGTACAGAGTGTTACTACTTCTTCCATCTCTGGGAAATAGCTTTCTGTGGAGGATGGAGATATTCCAATATATCCAATATATTTCTCCAGGAAGAAGACCTTGAATTTGATCTTCATTAGATTAGAGCTTCGTCTTGGGTAGCTTCTGTTATACTTGGGAATTGTTTTGAACATTGGCATTTTAGGGGATAGTGCATAGTTCATCGTGGAAGATAGTAGTCCTAATATACCACTCTGGAGCTAACTCTATGATAGTATGTTCCCTTATTAAACAATGTTCCAAAATTGGGCAACCTTTCTCTACAGTTTGTAGGTAGCTTCCTTTGTATATGGGAATACTTTCAGTTTCGGAGATTGTAGAAATTACAGTTGATGCAACCTTAAGCTGAGAAGCTTTAATTTAGTGTCATCATCTTATTATAATATTATACAAGAAAATAATAACCAATTTCTTATTAGTACTATCTAATAACCCGAATATACTAGACTGGAGCTAAACCTATGGTACGCCTCTACCATTATCAAAGCAGCACAGAATACAGGTGATAATTTCGTCTCATCGATCATGTCAATAATATTATTATAGAGACGATCTGTCTATAATTATCAATTTTTTCTTCTTCTATGGGCTACTTACCAATTCGGTGGGCATGGTGTTGCAAGATCTCAGGGGCAAATTGTAGGTTATAGGGGTGGGCTGGCTCCTGTACTCCTGCAGGCAGGAGCTGTTCTTGGAGAGGCCGCGTGGATAGACCAGACCATGGAAATCCGTGTTGCCCTCGGTCGAGATGTGAACGATTATCGACTCACTCGCGCACTCGATCTGCACGGTGCTCGCTATCGCCGCTGTTGCTGGAAAAAAAAAAATTGAAAACAAAATTATAAACGATCGTGTGAAAAGAATTATTAATGGTGGAACAAGAGACGAATCAGATGGTAGAAAATTATGTAAGTAAATTTAAAATTTTTAATTGTTACTTAACGTAAACAAATCACACCATGTATGTTAACATCAGATTTATATATACCTGACGGTATCAGCGATCTCGATGGATCGTTTCCCAAAGAATTTTAAACTGTTTCGAACCATACCCCGTCCATTAGACACGCTTCTCTCGAATTCACGGCGACTTATCAGTCGATAGATTGAAGTCCCCACTCTGTTACAGTTAACTGTACATACATCCGTCGATGATGTTCGATCGACAGCGTTCCTAAGTGTGAATGACGTAACGGTACATTCCGTCGATCAATTACGAGCATTATCGGAACTTTTATTCACACGATCGAACGACACACCGTTCGATTATGATCGATTCTCATTAAACGACAGACCCTCGTGAGAGCTTTACAGGAGTGTATCAAAAGTAATACATAGTCTGCTCTTCGTGTTTAATTATTCAAAGAAAAAATCATTTAAAAACAAAAATTATTTGAATTAAACGCAAAATAAAATTAGTTTTCTTATATTATTCGTAAAATAAAAAATAATAAACTATTGGGTTGGAACGGAAAGTTTGTGCATTTTCAGTCTCTGATCACGACAATTTTACAAGGATTGTTTTAAAAAAAACTCGTGGAACAATAGGGAAGCGTAATAGAACCAAATGGAAAGTGTGTCATTGATTAAATAAATCACTTTCAATTCAACCCAGTATTTGAAATAATAAATTATTATTTGTTATCTTATTTCAAATAAAATCTGCCCAACCTTGCTCTGTGCCATCAAGATTGAGCAGTGAATCAATGTTCGTTTCTCGAGACGAAACAGAAGTCTGCCGTGGAAAATCACGAAATCACTGACAGTTTTTGCGTAACCGTGGGCAGAAGAAGTTCACGATGATCACGCACTATTGCGTGTACCCGTTCGTTCACGGTCGATTTAGATGGTTCCGACAGGCGGACGATCGATGATCAAAAAACGGACGTTGAGGCAAAAGGGAGATCGCTCGAAAGACGTCAGACCCCTTCAGAATACCTAACTGTTTTTTTTTCTACGGGATCCCATTGTGAAAAGATGGAAACTGTACCATTCCGATAGTTCGCGAGAAAATTCCGCGATTCGATTGTATATTCGGTGACCTGCGAATCAATTAGTCGATCCAGGTGCGTTCACCCCTGAATCAACGTGAATTTAATCATTCTTAACGATCTAACGTTAGTACTACGGTACTAGGTCCGTGATTGGCTCGTGAAAATTGCACCTTATCCTGCCCTGAATTCGGTGTTCAAACAATGGTTTGAAGTTGAGAACCTCGAGTTTTTGTTAATTAACTCTGGAAACATCGGCGATTAACTATCAGTTGTCACCTGAACGGTGTATAAATGGTAATCAATTTATTTATTCACATATTGTAATTTAGTATTATTTATGCATTATTATTAACATATTAAAATCCATAGTATAGTTCTTGTATAAATCGAACCTTCTTGAACTCTTATACTTTAGAACTCTTTACATACTAAACGTTGAACCTTTTCCGCGCCAAAGCCTTCCATCAACAGTACTGAATGAAGCATTTCGTGGAAACACATCGCTGGTGTCCCCATTGAAGTCACTGAAACTCCGCGGGCTCTGTTACGAAACAAACGCCAGGCTGATTATGTATTACCTAACAAACTTGCGAATTAAAATGGAATCTCGTCTTTTTCTTTCGTTTCGTTTTCGCTCGCGTGCAATTAATTTACGCGGCGCTTAACTCGGCGTGGTCGTTTAAGAGGACTCCCGGGGTGGAAATGACAATGATCGTCTTCGCTTTACTATTATCGTCAACGAGAATCTAGACAATGCTGAGAGAGTCGTGAACTTGACTCCACGTCTTCCGACTCCTTCAACCTCGGGCCAAATCGAGCCTCGTTTAATTTCGAATATCTTCACGTGTCGACTTGGGACATTTGTCTGGGTTCGTGATTGGCTGGCAATAAAAGGATCATGTTACTGTGGGCGTAGATTAGAGGCGCCGTTAGGATCCCCAATATGGGAATCGATTACGACTCGAGGATCGATGCAATCAGATTCTATTAACCCTAATGACGCCAATTTGTTTTGAGAATTTTTTTTCGTCTCGATTTATCCAGGTGTCATATTTTTTATTAATTAATAGAAAAATTAAATTCATACCTTATTTATTCCCTTTAAATTCGAAATAACCTCTATATTCCCTTTCTCTTCATCCAATTATTTGTTTATTTAACTGTATCGTAATATCTGTGTTTCAGTGGGTATGATCAAATTCTTAGAGCCACAGAACATAAAGTATGTTTTTCTTTTGTGTTTGTGGAGAAGTAAAATTAGACAATATCAACGTTCTTACAATGAATAATTTCTAACTAACAATTGTCCATTCAAAATACACGAACAAGAATTAAACTTCGTCTTCCCGAGTAAACAGATCAAACGACGCTAGTTTTATTTAATTTCTTTTTCCTCACTGGATCACAGCAGCTGTACAATCCCCTTCCCCAGTGAAACCATCATTCGCTGGAATCTCAGTACCAGGAAAGAGGTGAAGGTCCGTGCAGAATCCCCGTTTTTCCACCCGTCCTTTATCTCCCCTTTGCTTCTCTACGGTGAACGTTGAAAAACCGAAATGATTCGTGCGAAGAGGATACCTCGAGGTCGACGACCTACCACGGTTCTGTATTCTTTGCTTTGGTGGTATTTCCTCGTCGTTCGTTGCCCTTTTTCTTTTTTTTTTTTTTCTTCTCAGTTCACGTTCGGACACTTCCGTTCGGCCGAACGATCGAATCGAAGTGTACCCGCGAGATACATTCGCGTGCGGCTAATTGTTCTTCGTTTCTTTACGGATTCATGTTTCCGTTCAAGCTGACGCGGGAAACGCTTCTTGTCGCTTCACGATGCAACGACGCTTCTTCTTCGAGGCTTGGGAAAGGGGTTGCCAACCTTAAATGTCCCAGTTGCTGCACCCATCACGGGATATCTCAATACAGTACGAAGAATAAATTTTTACAGTAGAATTTTCGTCGAATTAATTCCACTAGTATTGTAAATCTACAATTAAAATTTTATATTAGTTAATTTATTAATAAATTTAGTTAGATACAAATTTTAAGTGTAGATTTAAAATTAGTTACACTTTGATTATGATTTTAAACTCATCCACGTTTTGAAGATTCCTCCATTTTCGGATCTAGGATCCACGGAGAAAGATCAACGTTCCTAAGGTTAAAGAACCAGGCAGGATTCGTGGAAAAACAGACCTCTAGCGCGTGTTGTCCCCCACCTTCTCACGGTTCTCGTCCCGTCGTTTCGACGAAAGGAGGAAAGAGCGGCGGGTCCGTGTACCGGAAACTCCAAGCGTTCGCGTGTCGTTTGCAAATCGTGGCTGGCGTACACACCTTTGTTTTATCCCATCGATACCTTCGAATGAGTCAGGCTATGCGAAGGAAACGGCGACTCTGTCCCCTCTCCGTGGAGGACAGAAAGTATAAAGGGAAATCGAACGAAACTGTTTTCGTCTCTGATTCGTCCTGGTGACGCGGGGATTTCCTTATTGTAAATATTTACGATTTAATATAAAAAGTATTAGTTTAAAAGATATATAAATTCAGCTGTGAATTCGAAGTCTGTCTATATAATAATTATCCAACTGGGGAGTGTTTTTACATTCCTATTTCAATCTTCGAACATTCCTCTAGCTTGTGAATTTACAATTTCTTTCGGCGATTCCTTTGAGAATTTCAAGTGTTTGAGTTACAGAATGCTCGAAGATTCACATGCTCCCAAGTGGAGGTATATTCGACCGGTTGAAAGATCGAGGTACCCGCGACGCACAGTTATGCAATAGCACTCAGCGGCTTCCGTGCGTGAGATTTTAATGCGTCGACCGACGACGATGAACACGAGCGGCATAACGTATCGTCGACGTAACCGATCCACGCCACGCGACTTCCTGTCACCGCGATGAATTCACGTCGAACGTAAAAGGAATTCCATCTAATGGTTCATTCGGCCGGTTCTTATACCGAGTATCGATAAAAATGTGGGACACTTTCACAGGATAGATTTTACACGCCAAATTGACAAAGAAACTTCGGTACTCCGAAAATTCCGATTTTTTTTTCAAATTCAGGAATTTCAGGATTTTTAATTCAGGAATTCTAGGGATTCAGATAACGCCGTTGCTCGTGTCGCATTGATCGAGGAATTACTGTATCTTGGAAGCTATACTAGATATCAGAAAACTGTTACAATGAAGTGGCTTCTCATGTTCTATAAAAGCGTGCAATGAAATTGTAAAAAATTTATTTGTTTGTTTGTTTATTGATTGATTTATTTAAAATAATTCGGAATGAGGATCGAAGGACAATTGTGATGTTACCTGAGTGGAAAGGAATTCGCGTAAAGTTGCTGTGTGACGCAGAAGATTCTGTCTAAAGTTGGAAGCTTAGTCACCGGCCACGGGAATAAACGCGTAATTTTTCTTCGCTGCGCAATCTCTAATTCAGCGACGCTGAACACCCGGAGCTCTATTGCGGGAGGAGGCCGTGTTTCACTGGAAACGGGTTAACGAGCCGAAATTCAGTAACTAGTAAATTTACATAATCGTCGGACCGTCCCCGTCGCGGTCTTTTGGGCATTGCGAAATTCCACGGTTTTTTTTCGAATTGTCCGACCGGGGATTTAAGTGAGGAAACGCCCGGGTAGGCGAGCATTTGCATATCGCGACTCGATAACTGCGATGCCTGAATCTTCTTTTTCAGCGTTCCGAAAGTTCTTCGAAGTGAACACTTCTGACGTATCGTTAGTCGAGATTTAGTTCCAAATTTTCGAATACTTTTGGGATTTCTAGAAACGTTGGAATTCTCTTGCTGCAAATGTTTGGAATTAT